AAATATTATACAAGAAAAAAATATCGTGTTATTTTGAGTCAATATTTCTTTATTTCAAACCTTGAACCCGAAACCCCTTTTTTTTGTCGAAAGGTTCATACACCTTGTGATTTCACTGAATCTCAATTCCATTTTAAAAAAACAAATTCCGTGATTTCACTGAATCTCAATTCCATTTTAAAAAAATACAAATTCCGTGATTTCACTGAATCTCAATTCCATTTTTTTTAAAATAAAGTAAATTTGATTAGGAAGGAAAGAACTAGAATAAATGCTAAGAATCAAATCAATAATTTATTTAATTCAATTTTTTTTATTAATAAGTCATAAAAGCTAATTATTTTTTTTTGTTTTTCGAAAAATATTAATAATAATTATTAACCAACTCTCCTACTTTATTATTTTTTTTAATAAAAATATATATATTATTTATAAAGTTAAAATCTATAATGCAAAAATTGAAAAAGCCGTTGAACCGTGTGTGTTTTTTTTCCTCAGTGTTTAAAATAGCTCCATTTAACTAATAACGACACGCTATGGAAATGTCGTCAAAAAAAAATAACAGGTTTTTCGTTTAACACAGATTTTACGCTCTCAATATGATATTTTTTTAATATACCTTTTTCTCTATTTCTTTTCCTTACATTAATTCTCAATTTTAAGAATCACACTTTATAAAATAAAATATTTATTAGCAGAAGTACGCGAAATATATACAAATGTTTCACTCAATAATTAAGGCAAAGTTTCTAAATATAATTTAAGGTAAAAACCTGACTTTCTACCCCCCTCCCCCACACATTTCCCCATATCTTTTAACATTTGACACCTATCATTTTCGTTTCTGAAAGAAAAAAAAATAAAGTTATAAAATTGTCTCAATAAAAATTCACAAAGTCAAGTTTTGACCTAGACTTTGATCATGTAAGATATTTTTTTCCTGTGTCATATGCGAAGTGAGATTGATAATTGAGCCTAAAATATTTTTTTTAAATTAAAAATGGGGGAAAGGGAGGTCGATATGCTCTAATCGGACTAGTGCTAAAAGATATCTACTTTTACATGGAGAATCTTCGCTTCAATGATGGCTTAGATTTGGCGGATCCATAAATACGTAGATCACGGTGGGCGCGTTTCAATAAGCGGTGAGAACCCTTCGACAAAAAAATAATAAGGGTCTGAAATATTGACTCAAAATAACACGATTTTTTCCCCATTCATTCATTTTTATAACTCCGTATAAATTCGCGCACATAATTTGCGAGTAAAAAAAATTTATAGATTAAATTAAATGTTTTTAAAAAATTAATTAAAGGTCTGCAATGGGCATATTTTAGCCGATAAGCCAGCCCATAGTTTTAAAAAAAATATACCCGTCCTCCCGAGTCTAAAATTCTTTGCCCGCCCACCTCCTAGTCTATGGGCAGGCGGACTAAAAACCCGCCCAATGCAGACCTCTAATCGAAAAAGTCTTACAGTGTTTAGCGGATTTGATGGAAAAACATTTCCTTATTTTTTTGATTTGTTTGCAAAATCTAAATTATTTGTCAAAATAACAAAATTTATATTTCTTGACAATTTTAGAAGTTAAATAATTTTTATTTTACAAGATAAATATAAAAAAAATATATATGGCTACCTGCACAACACGGTAATATCATTTATAATAAAATATTATAGCCTACACTACAAAACATAGGTGTATATCCAAAGATTTTGCTAAGTGTAAAAATAACGAAATAATCAAAAATATTATTTGCTTTAGCCAACCTTTCAGGCAGGGTTAAATTAGAGATGGGTTTTCACTCCAAAAATTAATTTTTAATAAGCTTACCCTGACCAACGATTGAGGGATCCAATTGAAATAAGGAATGAGGAATTGGCCCAATAGAAACAGGGGAGTAAATTGTCAAACAGTGACGTGATTTTTTTTTACAGCTTAACCTGTAAAAATAACTAAATAATCAAAAACAAACAACCTACATTCCACATGCCTCTGATCTAAAATAAAAATTCTTATCTCTTTTTATTCCCTAAAGGTCTGATACGGATTTGGGGTTAATTTAATGTACGAGGTTATTTTTGGAATTATCTTGACTCGAACCGGCCGCCCGTATAGATTTTTAAAAATATTCGACCCGGCCCGAATTTTTTTTAAGCTGCGCAGAGATATCCGCTTTCATCCTAAATATTTTAAAAATATTAAAATTGATTATTTACGTTTTTTTTCTTCTCACATTAAAGTGAATTTGATTTCCGTCAATAATCTTGGGATATGTTATTCGGTAACCTACTAGGTACATATCCACGGTCTAGGGCAGACACATTCGCCATTTTTAGTTAAAATGTCGAATTTAATTTAGATTGGCGTTTTTTTTGGCACGCCCGAAAGATCTTCGCCTGAAATCAAAGCTTCCGCTCATTTACGCCACAAGAAATTGTTATATTTTAAGATTTATTAAATTTAAAATTAATGATTTTATCAATACCTATTTTTTTTTATAAATAATTTCATTTTTTTTCCCTTGGATTCGAAGGTAACTAATAAAATAGAATAACGATGTAAATTAATTACCTTAGCTTATATATATTATTTAAAAATTTCTAATCAAAAAGGAGATAATATCTTTTTTTTAAAAAAAAAAATAAGATAATTTAATTATCTTATTATTTTTTTTAAATCAGTTACTCGTTATTTATCCCATATTAAAACTTTCATAATTATTTATATGATCATAATTATAACGTACCTGTTTAATTTCGCATTCGCGTGATAATGATGATATATATATATATATTATACATGTCTGTCCAAATATTTTTTTTATTGTTAAAGAAGGATAAATGTTAAATAAGCTCGATTAGAAATTAAGTGAATGGGATTATATTTAGTGTTCGTTAAACGGTTCGATTTTTTAAAAACGGCTAACCAAATATTTTAACCAAAAGAATATATGGCAAAAAGGTTTGGGGCATCTATTACTTGAAATCTCGAAGCTTGCTTAGGATTATTTTGGCTAAGATCTTAATTTGATACTACTTAGATTGTCTATTCATTAAATTTAAAGTTTCCTTACACCCCGTGGTTTGCACTTCGAGTGATTATCGTTATTTATCATATGATTGTTGCGTATTAATGTCATTAAATCGACATTCCAACCACAAAATAACGTCATACCTGACTCATCCTACGTATGGATACTTTTAACCGCGTTCAAATAAAAAATTTGGCCGATGAAATAAATTATTATTTCTGAAAAATAGTATCGGGATATATTTTTTATACGCTTGACTTTGTCTGTCGCATGAGAACATAGCGAAGATTTAGCTCAGCATTCCATTACTGTTTATAGTTGATTATCTATCAATTTACCCTAATGGCCACATACAATAGATCATGTGAGGCAAGATATGCTTCTGCAAAATTGCGTATAATAATATGATAGAAAAAGTTTTCAAGAAGCATGAAAATTTGTGGTAACAAATGGTAACCATCGCAGATACGCTCTTTACATGATTTGTCCATTCAACAACATACAATGATAATTTTTTTTGGAACTTCTTTTCTTTATCCGTTAATCTGTTGAATATATTTCTGGTACTTCATAGCTATAGATTCTTTGGATATTTTTTTAGCTACAATTACAAGCCTGCTGGCTAATTCGTTAATTTATTTAGATTCCGCCATTGTGCGTTAAATCTTACAAAAATTAACGCTGACATTATCACATAAGCAAACCATATTCATTGCTTTTTCTTAGCCCTACTTGAATTTAATGGAATATATGAAATATATTTACTTCAGAGTTTTTTTATTTTGATAAAAAAATAGCATGAAAATGAATTTCTAGCTAATATTATTTAATATATATATAAAAAATTAATTTAAAATTATCTTAAAAATTGACATCTTATAAAATTTTATGATTTGTAACATTTTTGCAGGATTTCAGGATTTTTTAAACATTTAACAGGACTTCGCGGGAAATTTCATCTCTTTTTTTATCTCGCGGGTCACAAATTTATTTAGTGGCATGGCTTAATCGAAGAGCATCAATATTAGCTGCCTTGGTACGATTGATCTCGCCTAGAGTATCAATATCGCTTCCCTTGTTGATTGATCTCGCCTAGAGTATCAATATCGCTTCCTTTGTTTATTGATCTCACCTAGAGTATTCCCTTGTTAATTGATCTCTCACTGGAGCATCAATATCGACGGATATCCCACCGGAGTATTCTTACCGATTGTATGCTTGATTTTTCACCTGAGTATTGTTATCAAGTTCACTGTAGTTTGGTCGACATGCGTGAACGGGGCACGAGATCACCATTATCCTAGAGCTGGCCAAGAGATAGCTATCGTCCTTGTATGGCCCACGCGGCCACTTTTATTGGAGCTGTTTAGAAAAATATTTATTTCGGGATATAACGGGTGCATAAATTTTTATAAAAAGGGTTTCGACACATTTCTTCGAACTTTACTTTACTAATTGACCACAAGTATTTCATTTTTTAAAAAAAGTAACGTTTTAAAACCCTTTTAAACATATACATCAATTATTTAAGTATCGTAATTTTATTGAATTGATTATTTATTTTATTTAATAATCACTTCACTTTTATATACGTGTGTATGTATTATATGTATATGTACATTAAATAAATATTAATAAAATTATAATGTGTATGAATGAGTTTTAATTTAAAAAAATAAAAGAAAGTAACCATATGGCTTATTTCATGCATTTTTTTTAAAAAAAAAGATGACCTCTTTAAATAAATAATTACAGTATATCATCCGTAAAATTTAATAATATTCTACAAAATAACAGTTATTTTCGTTAATTTTTTTTCTTCTCCAAGCTACATTTATGATTTATTAATTAATTAACACCACACACTAATTTATATATACGCAAGTCCAAAAAGTCATTTTTACTCTTATAATTCAAAATTCTGATATTTATTATCTGTTTAGGAAGGTCCTCCAATTTTTAATTTATCAGCGATCCGACACCCATATCTCGGAAAGTTACTCGCGTTGATCGTTACCTACGGTATCCGATACTCACAATATCCGATACAGGTAAAAGTTGTAATGGTGAATCTCCGTAATTTATGCGATTTAGCAACGGTCTAGCTATTTATATATTTATATCGACCCTCCCCGAGTTGGCCGCGCTGAACCCTCTAGACCTCTCAATGACGCTGTGTTAAAATATAAAAGGGATGATCACTATATAGATTGTCTAGCACTATACCCCTCCCTTCCATCTTGGTATCTATTACGTTGAGTTTTAAACGTTCAATTTTTTTTAATATTGTTTTTCGAAAAGCCAAAAATTAACGCGTTTTTCACGCATATCTTGGAAGTTTTAAACGTTAGAATATTTTTAACCGTTTAGACGCAAGATGAAATAAGTTGTGGCTTGGAACCATTGACATTGATACTAAGTTTTAGATGCATTTAAATGTGTACGATGAAAGTCTCATTGAAATGCCTTTCAATGGCATGTACTACTGTCAAATACAATGGCAGTCGTTAGTATTAAAAGTCACTGTCTTGACCACCACTTACGGTATCGTGCGATATTCTGAAACACCATATACAATTATATTAATCCCCCCTCTCCAGATTCAATTATTTTACTCGCAGAAATTATTTTAAAAAAAATTTGTTTTTATTTATGACAAATGTTGTTAAATGGCTCGATCTGAACGGGCTAACTCAATATTTTAGCCAGAAAAATATTGCTTAAACCTTGAGATTTCTCCACTTTTTGCCATCATGGAGAAAATTATTCAGGCTCGCGTTATACTTTTCCGAATAATATATTGAGATAGCCGTTTAATAGCACTAATTATGGCCCATACCTTAATTGGGAGATTTTTTAATTAAGCAAAAAAAAACATAATACAAGTTCTAATTTTCTTCTTTTTTTGGTTGGGTGAAACCTAAGGTATATTCTTAATATCTGTACAACTAAATTAGGATTAATTTTTTTTAATAAGTTTTTACTTTTATATGATAGTTTCGAAAATGATGTATGTATAATTTTGTATCAAAGATGGGGAAAATAAAATACATTTTAATATTCTATTTGCATTGCACGAATTATAATATAACTAGAAAGAAAAAAATTTGTAATCGTTTATAGTAATCATATTATATTAAAATTTAGTCATTCAAAAAGGAACAAAGCCAATTCCATCTTCTATATATATATACCATTTTTACCGCGTGTCAATTACCTCTATTCATTTAATTTTCTTAGGAACTAAGGTAGTTTTCAGTAAAGGGGAGAGGGTGGGGTTGAGTTATCTGGAATACCCTACGAGATTAATTATATTCCTATCATTTTGGGTAATTAAATGGTCCCATGGGTAGACGCTTTGTCACATTAATTATAGGTTAATTAAATGGCAATATGTATGACAATTCATCCAGAAAAGTTCGCGGGCAAAAATATTTTCGAAAAAAATCGTATAAAAGATTTAGGAATTTTTTAATCAACAAATCGTATTTGAGTTAGAGATCCGCAAAGTTAGGACCCCGTATCCGGTCCGGCCCGAACGGGCTTCGGGCCGGGCTCGGGCCTAATCTATTTAAAATAATTGAGCTCGGGCCGGACCGGGCCTAATATTTAAAAAAAATTCGGGCCGCGTCGAGTCGGGCCTTGAAATTTTTTTAAAATTTATCAAGTTTATATTAAATTTTTTATGTAAAATAAAAATATTTGATTTTATTTATTGAAACTACGACATATAACATATGTCTTTTATTTTGAGTAATTATAAAAATTAATTTCTATATTTAAAAAAATTCGGGCCGGGCCGGTCGGTAAACTTTTTTTAAAAAAATTTCGAGCCTGGCCGGGCTTGAAAAATTAGGCCCGATGCAGATCACTAATTTGAGTATTCTCAAAAACAAAAAAAATCATTATTTTTTTAAGTTTTTTTTGAGCAAATGTTTTAAAAACTCTAGAAAAATTCGTTTAAAATTTTTATAAAATATGTTTAAAAATAAAACAACAATTTTTTTACAAGTAAAATAATTTTATCTGGGATTGAAAGAGGGATTAATGGAATTGTCGATGTGTTTGAAAAACTTCATTAAAACAATACTATATATGTATAGGTATAAAAATACATAAGTTTACTATATTTTTAGAAACAGTTTTTTTTTAAAAAATATATATATTTTAATAATCCCTTTAATAATTTATTGAAAATTAAAGTTTCTTTTATTTTAGAGGATTTATGTGAATAATGAAGAAAAAAAATACGCGCGTAAAATCGTTGCCATTTTAAAACCTTTTGATTTTCACTTTAATAATGCTATTGTTTGAATAATATTATCATTATTAGATGATTTTGATTCTATAACTTTGGCAATAATAACGTGACAAAAAAATAAATTAAGTATTTTACTTATACATAAAGTAAACTTTCATTGCTATGTTATTATTACAATATAAAATATTGTTTGTCGTAAAGCATTTCCATATATTTGTACTTTCTTAAATAAGTATTCAACTTTGCTGTAATTATTATTTTTAAAAATGTTTATCAATATGTTATTTTTTTTTACAATGATTGCAGCAAGTCAAACAATTTTATTAGAAAGTTATTACAAATATATGGAAATGTTTTTACAACAAATCATACACAAAACACGGTATTTATAAAAACAAACTTTCATTTACTTATATATTATAATAGTATATTTTAAAAAGAAATATATTAACTTTATACCTATTCTAAATCGTGTGAAAAGGAAAGATCAAACAACTCTCCATATTTATAAGTGGGGGAAAAAATTTCCCCTCCCTTTCCCCTCCCCAGAATTGACTTATCATGAAAGCACAAAAATAAGGTTTTTTTTTATAAAAAAAGCGCCTTAAAAAATAGTTGATTTGAGTTTAACCCGGACACGTGACCCGGCTTTTCAACTTTTGCATTTGCGGTCGAGACCAGTGGACCGGAAATTTGAATAAAAAATATAATGGACTATGCAAATTTATATAAAAGATATAACGAGCCATGGCGGGAGATTTATAGTGCGCACAAATTGAGCGTTTACTTTTTACCGTAATTTTTAAATTAAAAAAACGTAAAGCGTACCTTGTTTAAATTGAGGTTGTCCTTTTTTTAATATCCGTCGATTCAAAATTTTAAATAAGTTAAAAAAATATATAGAATTTGTCGAAAATTATATTATCGTCTGCGTTTTTATTTCTTTAATTTCTAAATATTCCTTTTTTAGGATATAAGTAAGTTAATTATATTAGAGATCTGCAAAAGTAGGCCCGACCCGTACCTGGACCCGGTCTAATTTTTTTAAGAAAATTCAGGCCGTGTCGGGACGGGCTTTATAAATTTTAAAAAATATATATAAATTTATCAATTTTATGTTAAATTTTATATGTAATTTATAGAAAGTAGACGCCATATAACATATATCGTTTATTTTGAGTAATTATAAAAATTAATTTCTATATTTAAATAAATTCGGGCCGGGCCGGCATGCAAAATTTTTTTATAAAAAATTTCGGGTTCGGGCCGGGCAAAACTTTATAAAAAAATTTCGGGCCGGGCCGGGCTTGAAAATTAGGCCCGATGCAGATCACTAATTTATATTACATTTTTATATAATATTACAAAACGAAGAATAAAAAAATGTATTGAAATAGCAAACTGTTTGCGTTTTTTTTAAAATGGTGGTTAACGTCAAACGGTAATTTAACCAATTTACCCTAGGCCATTTAAAAGGCATTATTGGCGCTTGCAACGCGGCGTTTGAAACGCTCAATTTGTTCGCACTATTATACATAAAAAAATCCGGGTGGGGTCTCCCAAATCTCTTATCTTTCGAAAATTTCGATGAGCCAAAGGCTACCCCTCGAATTGAAATTCCGATATTATTTTTTTTATTTTTTTTTTGAATTTCAAAAAACTAATATTTTGATTTATATAAATAATAACTATTTGAAAATAGAATTGAAATAATGCTTGTTTCAATTGTATTTTAAAAAGCTGTCTAAACGAAAAATATCAAATCTACAGACGGATATATCGAGCCCCAATCGATTTATAAAAACGGTCATGTTGGAAAGAAATAGATATCCATAGAGGAGAGAATAAGAGCATCATTGGACATTGGGAAAGAATTAGATATGCCGGGAAATTCAAAATATAACGGGTTGGGACAGCCTAGCAACTTATGGAAAATTTTTTTAAGTGGTCTAGTATTTTAACAACTCTCGTGCCTTCTCCCCCCAAAATATCTTATTTTTTGTTGTCGTTGTAACTGTAACGAAAGTTTGAAAATATCAGTTTTTGTTTGTTTGTTTGCTTCACTTTAGGACATTTCGCGTTATTATCCAGTATTAAATTAAACAAAAGGCATGCTTATAGTTAAAAATAAAAATACACAACTAAATTTTAAAGTAACGACGAAACGAAAAAGAGGGGCAAATTAGTCGATATGGGTGGTATGAACAAAAATAAAATTAGTTACCGAAATTTCTGTCTCGGACAAGTTCAAAATTATTTTACGGTGCGGGTCGAATAACGGTTTCAAAAACTTGCATGGACCGGGCCGAATAACCGTTGCAAAAACTTACGGGGCCAAAAACCGCTACAAAAATAGTCGCGAGCTATATATTTTTTTTTACACGTTAGAATTAATTATCATAATTCATTCTTTTTTTCTCTTACATTTTTAGGAGTATACGAAGAAGAAAAAAAACCACATTAATTTTTTTTATTATTTATTTTACAGTACATTACATACATAATTATATAAGTAAGTAATTTTAATCTTTTGACAAGTACTTTTTTATATGTAAACATCTGGAATGTAGAAAATAAAAATTTAGAAAGAATATATTTAGATACTTTTATTTAAACACCCCCATTCCCCTTCTTTCCTTTTTTTTAACGTGTTTATTCTCCTAAAAATTCATTATAATATTATTTATTAGGGGGTAATAAATAAAGGTTATCAAATTTAAGAAAGAAAGAAGATAAACCACAACTTTAATATTATATTATACCAACACTTACATTACAAGAGAGGGAGAGAAAGAAAGGAAAGCCAATTCAAGTGAATTTAATGAAGTGTGTATGAGCTCTGCATTCGATATATTGTTTCAGGTTTCCCACCCAAACCGAGCAACAGCAAAAAAATATTGACAACACCGATCTGATCAGATAGACCAACCCCACCCCCTTCCCCCAAGATCTAAATCCCAATCCCTAAATTATTTTTAAACTGCGCGATTTGATTCCGATTTAAAAATATTTATCGGAAAAAGCACGATATTTCGGCGAAATCGGGAAAAAAATTATATTAAGCGAAATTGTAAGGTAAATAAACAATTTACTTGGTCATTCTTTAAAAAAAAATGTTCAATTTATCAAGGCTGCGAGTCTGGTTGGAAACAAAATTTTATAATCACAGGTCCACCTAGTTTAGTTTTTTTTTTGAAAGATTCAATAAAAGTAAATGAAAGAGAAATAGGAAGAAAGAAAAAAAACGTAACTATATCACCTCCATTTATATGTTGGGTTTCCAATTTTCAGAACTCTTTTTTAGTATCATATCATTGAAAGTATCGCCGATCTGATGCTGATCGATACCGGAAATATCAATCGAAACTGGATATATCGGCTGGATACCCGTTATCCCGCCTGATATCTCGTATATCGGTTGAAGACCATCAGTATCGGTCTCCATTATTGCATCTCATGCCAAAAACAGTATTAAATGGTGTTATCAAAAAGCTCAAGTTGGCCAATTTTTTTTTAAAAAAAGCAAAAATTGCGAAATCAAAAGATTTTGGCGAAACGAACAAAGCCGAGATTTGATATAGAGGACTAAACCTTTCCTACTTGTTTTCGCCCCACATTTTAAAGGTTAGGTAATTATTCGTTTTAGCAAAAATCCTTGTTTGTCCTCTTTTTTTAGGGTTTTTTTTTAAAAAAAAATTTTAAAATTTTTCAAAAAATCGTATAAGATGACCCTAAATATCATTAAACATAACTAATAGGCTACTGTCACCCATTATTAACATTTTTGGAGACAAATTTATATGAAACTTTCCATATATATCTTTTCTTATTATCTTTATTGAGTAAAACTTGTTTAATTTGAGCTCTCGATAATTGGTGGGGGACAACTCCCTAATTTGGTCAAAATTTTGAGTCCCAATCATATTTCATGTTAACTACTAAGTCAAGATAAATTGGACTCCCGTTTAAGTTGGTTAAAAATCTTTTATTAATATATTACAAAGCTTTTAAAATACTTTTAAAATTAAAAATTAACAAAATATTAAGCGAATAGCTGATAGGGGCAGAGAGATATGGGGTTAGATAAAAAAAATTTCCCAATAAAAAAATATGAATATTCCTATATTTAAAAAAATGGATAATAATTTTTAAAAACTTTGATTCGTTAAACTTTATCTGGCCTTCGTAATCGCTAGCGCTTTATAATAAAAATTGGATTTGCACCTGCGCAAGGCTCATAAGATAAATTATTTTAAGCGCGTGCTCAGATTAAATTTTAGAACTTCTGAGCAGGCTTTCGACACCTCCCCCTCTCCCGGGGTTGGTGACTATGCTTGAATATTATTACCAACGAATGCAGGTTTTTGACAATACAAATTGTGAATGTGTCGCTATCCATTTAAATTTGGGGCTAATGAAATTCGCTATCTACCGAGTAAACCGAACCGCTAAATCGGATCGAACCCGGTTTCTGTAATCTAAACCGTGCAAGCAGAACCGAATCCTTTTGGTTACCTTAAATATACTTTACATTAGTCATTCTTTTCGAAATATGTTATAAAAAATGCTATTTATTGATTTCGGGGATTTATATTTTATTAATCACTATTTGCTTTTACGATCCTCTAAAAAAATAAATTAAAATTATCCCCCCTTTTCGGCTAATTTAAAAAAATAATAAAAATAAAATAATAATTTCTTTATTTTAATAAAAAAAATACCTTTAAAAAACGCATAAAATAATAAACATCTTCGATTTTTTTTGCTTCTTCTGCCTGCTGCTAACAATAAAAATCTTACTTTAAAAAAGTATATATTTTGTGTATTTTATTTTAAAGATGATTGGATTAGAGTTTCATATGAAAACAACAAATATAGTGAAGCTGATACTCGTCACCCCACCTTCAGAATCATCGTGACACAAAAATATTCACACAATTTCGGAATTAAAAAGAATAGGCTCAAATTATTGGAACACGCGCGCACGCCTTTAGTCCCTTTTTTATATCGCTCATAATTCGCGAGTTTCGATGACTGTAACGCCCTTACATCTCGCGCGTATCTTGGCCCTGCTACTGATCAAGGCCATAACGTCGAACCACGCAGAATTATCGCGTTTCAAGGTCGCGGATTCAAAAGGCGTCGGAGAATCTCCCTCGCGTAATTCCAATTCCCACGCATTTAACCACGGAGACGGTAATTTTTTATTTTATTCTATTAGCTATTATTATGGATTCAAATGATTGAGTATGAAGGAATTACAGTTTATTTTTTTTCCTAAAGGAACTTTAGATTAAAAAATCAAATGTATAGTACTGTTTTTTTTCTTCTATATGTTTTACAACGGGGTTTTTTTTAAGGTTAATGTATTTTTATTTGAATGGTCCTTCTCTTTTGACAATTCAAAATCCAGATTTTTTCTTTCGAAATATCAATCTATCAACATAATGATAGGCAAAATCGTAACCATCAAATAAATGTCACGAAAGTCAATCTTCGAATTCAATCATTTTTTTTGTTTCTCCTAACTTCCATTTCGCATTAATTTAGCATATAAAAAAAATTTCCTCCCTTTTCTTTCCCCGTCTAAGGAACTGAACGAAAACTATTGTTTTTTTGTGTCTCTTATAAGCCTTTTACGCGTATGTATACCACTAAAGTACTTAACGCATCGATTAATACATTATATAATGTATTTTGATTTCCATTTGTATTATGCGTGATGTATATGTAAAAATGCATAATTACTGAATTTTTTTTTAAACATTTCGATAAACGTTTTAATCTCCTTAATTATACTTGGAGTATTAGTTAGTGAAACAACGTACTCTCATATTGCTTAATATGAAAGTTAAATTTTCCTTTGAATTGAAAAAGGGAAAATTAATGGTTTTTATTATTTTTTTTAGTAATTTTTTCTTTTGTTATATATATATATATATATTTTGTAACTTTATAAAAACGGAGAAAAAAATCGCTTTTAAATGACAAAAAAAATATTATTTTATATGACTAAATTTATTTCGTTAATCACCGAAACCTTTTAGAGTGAGGCATTTTTAAAAAAAAATTTGGCTAAAAAAATGATCTTATTTTTATGTTAATATCTTAAATAACTACGAATCACGATTCATAATGGATAGGGAAGGGGGGGGGGGGGGGAGGGATTTGTTAATTAATATTTTTTTATTATATAAAATGTAGTAATTATATAGGTTAATACTGTATATTGGAGACCTGTATATTATTAATTTTTATAGCTAATGAATATTTAAAATATACGGCCCGGCCCCTGATGTTATATATGAGGAATGGAGCGAGGAAGAAGAAAGGGAAGAAAGATTTGATCTCATATTTTTTTTTGATGAAAGCAAATAAACGTAAATGCATTTTTAATGTAATACCCTATATCCTATCTAATTCTTATGAATGAGGGATTGAAAGAAAGCAGAAAAAAACTAATAAATTATTTTGTAAGAAAGAATTGATTATTTTATAATTACGAATTCAAAGAGCTCGAAATTTACGAAACTGAAAATCCAACCATATGCTACTTTAAAAAGAAAAAATAATTGAAAATGGAAGGAAATCGAATTGACGTAATGTTGCAAAAAAAATAAATGTAATATATTGCGTAATGATTAATGAATGGTGATTGGTCAAAGGATTACAATTAAAGATTTTTTTTTTCTAAAAAAAATTGAAAATGGAACGAATTGACGTAACGTTACAAAAAAATAATAATAAGTAATTGGTTATATTGCGTAATGAATAATCATTGGACAGATTAAAAGGGACCAATCAGGAATACAATTGATTTTGCCAAAAAATAGAAAGATAAAATGGGAACCACATTTTAAAAAATTTTAAAATCGATATTGAAAAAAAAAACATCCGATTTTATTTTCATAACTTTTGAATCTTATTATTTGCTTAGCTGTCTGAATAGATTTTAATTGAAGGGCGGGACCCATTTTTAAACCATATATCATGCCAAAAACTTGTTCATTCGGGATATATTAATTGATATACGGTCTAAACCAAAGATCGATATTTAACTGGACCGGATCGATTCCCTTAACACTACATCCTTAACACAAAATTTCTCTTTCTTAATCGGTTCAAATTTTAATTAACCCTTTAAGTTTTCTCATAAAATTAATGTGATGCCGTATTTTTAATAAATGCGTGAAAAAAATATTTAAAAAATACAACCTCCACCAACACATATGTAAAAGTATCTTAATAATATATTCGTGTATAAAGGTTGAAAGGTGGTTTTATATTCGCACTACCGCGACTGAAAGGGTCGTGATAAAGTCGCACCCATAGTCATAACCCTCTAGACCCCGCCTTCCTTTCCTCTGATGTGTAAAGTATAATATTTATATTTAAATTATCTCGTATCGACTAGTAGGGCATCTCCTTAAAATAATGTGGCGATAGCCTTGACTTTCCCCTCCCTTTCATAGTAGATGATTTCTAATCGTATGATAAATTAGATCCGTCAGGACAAATAGATCAAATACCCCAGCATCTGTGTTCTTCGTTCCTTCCATCTTTCAAGAAGGAGCCCGCTCGCCCTAACGTGATCGTTGGCCCTCGGTCCGCCTTGAACTTGGAATGTAGAGCCTCGACCAAGTCTTTCGACTATCACCCCAAAATATATTGGAAATTCAACGAGGAATTCGTAGGAGCCGGACTCGCGGGAAAATTAGGTTTTTTATACTCGGATTCCGATGAATTTTAAAAAAAGAACAAAAGAAAGAAAACAAAACATGTGTGTATATAATTTTTAAATAATGATATTCCTACAGGAATAGTGGTTAAACCTATAGGCGACCTACTAGTCCGAACCTTTCATAAGAGAAGGAATCAGGGAGCTTATCAATGCTTTCTGGCCACTACTTGCGGTACTATAGCCGGTTCCAAGATCAACGTCACTCAAGCGGGTAAGGATTGATTAACATTTTATTTTTACCCTGGAGGGTCTTCTCCACGTCTATTCCGGAGTTAAATTTATATCATTATTTTTTTTATTCTAAAAAAATAGAACTGGGAAAAGCTCCCCACTTTAAAAGGATCGCTCGTTTTACTGAGGGCCAATCAGCTGTCCTCATTCCTTGCGAAGCGGCCGACATGCATTCCGTCCCCCATTCCATTCCTTCCGTACTATTTACGCCTTACGCCGGGTTTCCGTCGGAGAGTGCCACCGAGTTTACCGTATACGGCCCCGAGGAAAATCATAAAAGAAAAGGTTATTAATTTAGTAGAAAAGATTTTATTTTTTTTTTGGAGGGGGGATTTTTATGAGATATTATGACGTAAGCAAGAATATTTAAAATGCCGGAATTAATTTGACAAAATTTTTATATTCGAACAAAAAAAGAAAGAAAGGTATCTATTATTGTATCAGTTATTTACTTAAAAAAATAACGATATCGATTATTATACTTTTTTCCTAGAAATTTACATCCCGTTACCGGTTCGGACCCGGATCTCCCCTCTTTGAATCCGGCCGGTTTTAAAATAATTGTATCTTAACCGATTTTTAAAAAAAATGTCTATATTAACGCTATTTTTTTTTTATTTTTTAAAAAATGAATATATGCGAATCAGAAAATCATTATTTTGCTTCAAATATGTGAAAAATAAATTAAAATTAACTAAAATCGTCGCAGATTCTAATTCGATATATTTTTTACTTCATTAGTTTCTTCCCATCCTCATTTGTTGAGACTTTTTGGTATTATAAAAATGTTGAAATTTTTTGGAGCATATTTTTTTTAATGTTTACTTATATGATTTTAAATAACTGATGAAAATTGAAAATTTTTTAGCCCTCGGGCCCATTCTTTAAAAAAATTTACATCAGCGGGCGGGCTAAAAACGCGCCCGTTACGGACCTATAATTGGTATCATAATAAAAAAAATATTATATAAAATATGGGGATCCTAGGGAAAAAAATAGTAAATTTTGCGAGACGATTTATTTTTAACGCGACAAAAAATAATGATAAAAAAGGTTATATAATGCTTCCCACTGGACAATTGATATTAACTAACGTGACGCGGGCTGACGCAGGGACATATTCCTGTTGGGTGACGAATTCCATGTTAGAGAAGAGAAAGAAAGTGGGGAGGGTCGAATTGAAGCCTTCCAGCGTTTTTGACAGACATAGGAATGAGAACGAAAATGTCATCACAGTATGTTTATTCTGAGATTTCCTTTTTTTTCAATAAATTTTTATGATCAAAATTGTAATTTTTTTTGTTATTAAATTTATCTACATTTATTTGATACTAATATAAAACAAATTAGCGACTAATCTAAGGTTGAAAAAAAATTCGTTTTTTTTAATTGCTAAAATCCTCATGGAAAATATACCAATTTTATTTCAATTTTTTTATTTTGTTAAAAAATTTTCATCACCGTGCAATTGAATTTATTACGAAAAGGAATCTTTTTAAAATTTATAAGAAAATAAATTTGAATTTTATAAATATAATTTTTGAATTTTTCAAAATTTCGTTAAAATGATTTTTTAAAGTATGTTTTTTTCTGTCCTGTTTTTTTTTCGCATTATATTTGAAAAAAAACATTTTTTATGTTTTTTTATCCTTAGGTTAACCTAACATTGGATTTGGGAATCTTTCCGTTAGCTTCCGTGAGAATGCAATGTTTTCAAGATTGGCATTGGTCTCGTTCCCCTTTGACTGCCATGTTTTCGAACGCCACGATCGCAAAAGTAGTTTTGCCTTACAAAACCACGGCTAACGGGTCTGATCTGCTTCTATCCTCGCTGCTAGTCGAAGAAACGGAACCGAAAGTAAACGGGAATGGCAATATATCGCGCCAACGATTACTAGCTTACTACACCACCATGCTACGTATACCTCTAATATATTACGAATGCTCCTCTAGAAGTAATAATGACTTGGTTATTCGTTACAACGTCCTTTCCAACCTTCCTCCCGTCTCCATTCTCTCGGGCCATCCCGCCAATCACAACGCTCCGTTCTCGGGTGAAGTGACTGATTCTAAGGACAATCGGGGAAAGGTCATTTCGTCTTTTGACCATGTGATACCTTCAACTGCTCGCAATATATTTACACATCGCGGGGTGAATTTATCGACTACCGATGAAACAATATTACCTTTGCTCACCAATGATGCCGTTTTATCTTGCTCCATTTTTTCTTCTAACCCCCTGACTTTCGATTGGCTGCTCAACGGTCATCCAATTAAGAACGTTCAACAGACGAGCCAATCATCGTCCCTGCTTTCCTCCCTCGGTTTGTTAAGGCGCACCAACGCATAACATTTTATTAAAATATTTTTACATTGTAAATAAATTAAATCAATCGCTTACGATGAACAGGATACACAAAGTTAAGATTTACAAATATTAAGTTTTTACTACATAAGGCCACCTGACCACTATGTTGTAACTTTTTGCGAAGTTTCGATTATATAATTGAGTTATAGACTCATATAACTACGATGGCCCTTCTTATCTTGAATTTATCGAAATGTATAGTTTTTTAAATTTTTGTCCGATTATTAAATTTTTTTTTCCTTTTGTGCTTTTTTTAGGAAAAAAAATTGACCAATAAATAATTTTTTAAATTGTCTTTAAACAGCTGACCATAGTGATCACATAACTGCCGCCATTTTCTCTCTCGATACCCGAAATAAGCCAGGCGTATACGAATGTTTAGCTAGCAATAGACTGGGTTCGATTCACGAGGTGTTCAGAATTTCAGAGAATTCATACAATGTAAATAATTATATGAAAATGGATAGAAGAGGAAACGATCAATCTAATGTGCTTGAGAAGGGATTATCAGATAGTTTACGTTTCAGAGAAAACGACCATTCGAAAGATGCTAATATAGTACATGAAAAATGGGATTATGATAATCTTGTTTATGAGCCCTTGAAATCGAACGTTTATCATAAGGAAAGGGAGAACGTTACCCTTGATTCCGAATTCGATACGGGGGTTTTGAACAATGAAATCGGGGTTAACCGGAACCTAAGGCCCAAGTTGATGGCTTTTAACCCCGATAAACCTTTAAGCATCATCAGAAGTTCACAAGTTGATATCGCTTCTCGGAATAGCGAAAATAAAGATAATACAAGTTCCGACGAAAAATATTCGACGAGACATGCCGCTTTCAGCACGAGTAACGCCAACTTATCTCATATCGTAGGACAGTCTTTAGGGGAAGATAAAACAAAGGTAAACGATCGGCTCCGGCCAAATCCTTTGTCTTCGTTACGCGATCCTTTTGATCTTCCAAGCGAATCGAACCATCTCGATGTTGAAACTCACGCCAAAATGAGCAAAACTGTAGGCGTTCCCTCTCATCCAAAACAGGGCGTTCCTACCCTCCCATTCCAAAAAACGAGAAACGCTCATAAAAAATTGGCTAGAAATTCCCAAAAATTGCGACCCTTCACTATTTCGGGACCCTCTTCTCTTTCCCTATCCACGGGTCAAGATCTTAACCTTAACTGTTCTGCCCTAGATCCATTTATTTCCACCCAACTGAGTCATTCCACCAATTCCAGAATGAATCCTTCCCTATCCTTCACTTGGCTCAAGGACGGGCGTAACGTGCTCTACAACCTGGACGAACTTTGGTTCTCGGGCCGTATCAATATCTCCGAAGGGGAACTCATCTATGATCAAAACAAATCGGTAAAAGTGTATAATTACACTCCCAGCGATCCTGATGTTCCTTCCTCGCCTACAGAAAATCATAGTTTTTTAAACGAGCATAAGAACGAAAGAGCCTCTGGGATGACGATTATATCCGTTCTGCGAATCGCCGATGCCCAGAAGAGCGATGCCGGGAGATACACTTGCATAGCTAGCTGGAATTTCGGCAACTCTTTAGGGGATCCATCCTTGTCCATGAAAACGCTTACCGCTTCCGCCGAAGTCAAGATTGAGGAGGATAAAAATGGTAATTTATATTTCCTTATCATTTTTTTTTCTAGGTGCTGAGGATGCCAGTGATGTATTTCATTACATTTTATGAACAATATTTTTTTTATGCTTGGTATTTAAGTATTGCCAATTGTTATTTATCAGTAATCCGGAAGGGTACAGTTCCTCTGTATGTTCCATTTTGATAGATACTCCTTAAAAGTATCTAGTTATAGAAATCTGGATAACCTAGGAACATTCCTCTTTATTTTTAATTATTTTCTGTAAAAAAAAAGGTAAGAAAGAAAGAAAGTAATTACAACTGATTAATGCAATAAGAAAATATGTTTACATTTATTGATAACCAGTTGTAGTCTGTTTTATGTTCAATCATTAACAAAAAATTATTTTGTAGCATCAAATTTTTAGATTTATTCCCCCCCCCCCCTTAAAATTTAGAATTTAAGAGTAGTTGATAAATTTTAAAATAGCGGTTTAAAGTAAATTAATATAATATATTTATGATATGACTAGTAGACAGGTTAATCCGATAGGGTTAGGGAATATACATTGTGAGATATAGTTTATTTGTATATAGTTTCTAGGGGCTAATAAGATAATGTGTTACATTTAACGCCAATATTTTTTAAAATTGGCTCTAAAACATCTGTTTTTTTCGCACATTAGCTTTTTTTAGTGTTAAGTTAGGTGGTAGATATCTCATATAATGTTTTACGACAAAACCCCTAATTTCAACTCTTATGCGTAATTTTGAAATCTTATTTTTTTTTATAGAATAATTATAACAAAATTTATTCTCCTTTTTTTTTACTCAATCTAGTGCACTCCTTCAAAAACTTAGATTCCAAAATGGGAGGAATAAATAACCCAAATCGAATAAACCAGATCCCTTTTCTTGATCACCAAAGCAACATTAACTTCGTTACCCATTCTACCAATTTTTACGGGGAGAAACCGATACAGACCGAAGCTCTCGTATCACCCCCCGCCAGAACTCACTCGGAGCCGCCACCCAATAAAAGCATAAACGAAATCGACCATAACGTAGAGAGCGAGAACGCCGAAGAGGCCTTGCCCGATTCCCTCATTTCCCCGAAGGCTTACGACGATAGAAAAACATTGACGGAAATGTTGTCTAATCTGGGAGGCGGTGGAGCTACCAAAGTGGCTCCAGAAAAGGGAGCTGAAATGGTGGTGGGAAAATCAGAGGAGGAACAAGAAATGGTGGTTGTAAAATCAGAGGAGGAACAAGAAATGGCGGAAAAGTTCAGGAAAAACGGTAAGGGAAGGAATCCTAAACGTAAAAAATTGCCTCTCGACGCGAACTCTGATGTGCGAATAGGTTCTATGGATCCCGTTTCCTCGGAGAACGGATTAAAAGACCTAACGGAACGAGAAAGTTTACAAATTAATATGATATATACTTAATTATTAGTATATCTCATTCGCGCATTTATTTTAAAAAAGCTTCTTTTCATGTCCAACTTTGACGATCAACTTTTATTTTAGTGTTATAATTCCTCTTATAAAAGAAAGAAAGAAAACCTTTTCGATATTTTTGGCAGATAAAATATGATATTACTAGTTTATCTAATATGTTAGTTACCCTCTTACGTTTCAATTCATTAAATAAATAAGGTCATAGTTTATAGAGATTTTTTTTATAAAAAAGGAATGGTACCTCCAAGTAAACCTAATGTGACCCAAGTAACCAACGATTCCGTATTAGTCAGCTGGGACGTTCCAGCTAATGCAGGCCTATCCATCCTATTTTTCAAGGTGCGCTTGATAGCCAGCAAGCATTGATTTTTCATACACTTTTTCATTAAAAAATAATAATTGAATAGAGATATATATATATATACACACATCTTTTGTTCCTTGCCATCCTTCCTTCACAATCGGAACAGCTACGCCCACTTTTGTCGAGGCCAGGTAACAACTCAAGGTCGGTCCGTGCAAAAATTAAACCGCACCGGACTTGCAATAGGCTGAGCCCACACACTTAATAGAGAATAGAAAAATGGAAATATTAATTTTTCTTACATTTTGTGTTTACTGTTATATAATAATGAAAGCGTGAAACCTAAATATTCATAATTATTAGTTATTTTTCCATATGGTATATTTATGGATTGTAAAAAAAAAACCTGGCGGGACAACTCCATCATCCTGATAAGTTTCAAAAATGGTTCACCCTTCAAGACGCATCCGATGCTTCCCTTTCCTAAAAAGAGAAAAAAAGAACCTGAACAGTGCAATCACTGTTCTGGAACACCATTATTGAATTAATAGTTTATTTAACAATTTATTTTCGAATTTAAAATTATTGAGCAGATATCATAACACTCGTGCGACGTATTGTATTGTTATATGTGTATTCACAAAATAAAAAATTCTTTGAGAACTCTCTTGATTGGAGGCTAGTTTTGGTTTTTTTTTATACCAATTAAACTAAGAATTTTTTTTCCTCTTATTCTGAGTAGTGTTGTTAAACGGCTCGATTTGAATTTTTAAAAACGGTTAACTCAATATTTTAGCTAGAAAAATATTGCCTAAGCCTTGAGATTTTGCTAATAGATGTCCAAGCCTTTGTTCCATCTACGAGAAAAAATCTTCAGTTTTTATTAATTTATTTCTGGATAAAATATTAAATTAACCGTTTTTAAAAATCTGCTCAAAACGAGCCGTTTAACAAAACAAATTCTTGAGGGCCAATCATATATTTTTTTGAGCTTTTCATCTACAGCTTTAAAATAAAAAAAATATATAACCAAAAATAAATAATAATCTTGTTTTGTTTAAATGTACATTTGATTATTATTGAAATTGGTAGATTAATTTTTGTATACATATATATAGCGCCCTCTTGCGACGTAATATATATGACCAGAACATGTAATATATAAATATTTAGGTAAATTTGAGTTATCTAAATAAAATGATTTTAATTTTTAAATATATTAAACTATTTTATTTTTTTATAAATTTATATTATTTCACTTACACTTTCAAACAAAATCTCTTGCATTTTCATGGATTGGACCATTGTTGGGATCTATCCTTATTCCATATAAATTTACTTTTTATCTCAAAATCAAATCAACGCGAGCATAAATCAAAAAATCTTTTATTTTAAATCGAACGAAAAATTATTGTATTTTTCATAATATTTTTTTAAAAACCATTCCGATTAATATTTAATATAAGGTGATACTTTAGGGGTATAAAATAAACTATCAATCAATTACGATTTTGACCATCTCACCATAACCCCCCTTTTTAAAAAAGATTACATTTTGTCACAAAGAAATTAGCTCTTTCCTTAAATTTGACTCCTTTATTTAATGGATGTCGTTCGCCCTTCCTAATTTTGTCTCCTTTCTTTCTGGCCAAACTTCGTTTTACTTATCAACACTTGAACCCCAAACTTCATATATTTGCCTTAACGGCTTGTTCTTCCTTCTTAGTTGTTCAACCGTTGAAATATAGATTTGCCAGTTTTAGATCCTTTTTCTCTTGCTTGGTTCAGTTAAACGTTTTTACCGGTACGCTGTTCCTTCCAGCTTAGTCGCTATAAGTTGTACGTCTAAACGAGAGGAGGACTTATATCGAATCTGATCCTCGTCATGTTGAAAAGAGGCGGCTTCTTCCAAGCCTTGAGAGATGGGTGGGTAAGGTTGCTTGATTTTTTTAGGTGCGCGGTTTCTTCCTCTAAATGATTCAGTCTTCCTTCCTTTGTTCCAGGATTTTAAAATTCTGTTTTGTAGCAGTCGGGCTTTATTTCGTTTTCTGTATCATTCATCCTAGAATTCGTGTCATCGATGTCAAGCGAATGTTGCTGCGATTCTCTGAGATAATCGTCTTTGGCGCGGTGCTGAGATATTTGCCTGCCTCTGCATAACCTTGAATAAATGAAGAGGGTTTTTACGGCATAATTTAAATCGTTAATTAAACCTAAAACATGATAGATCTTTAACATTTATAGCGATTTAAAATCAATTGTCCAGAACAAGGTATAGGAACCATTTATCTCCATATATCTTAAATGGTAGTTAGAGGTTTATCTTTCAAGAAGGTCAATGGTTTTTATTATGATTAAATATATCGGCAAGGACCCTATCCGATATTGATAACGGTTTTACTAAGTTTGGTGTTTCTTTTATAATATCTTTCTCTTCTGACTTTGATGCAATCAATTCCGAGCTCTGACTCTGGGGACCCTCATTCTTTTCCCATTTTTAATACTAATATTAATCCTCCCCCATTTTTCCTTCTCGCTTCAATGGGATTTTGGTCATATGGTACTGAATTTTCCTGGATCAAATCCGGGAAGAAATTTTTTTATTTTACAAATATTCAATTATATTTTAAATCTTTCCTTCTCACGCTAAACAACAGATTCAATACAGGCAACTCCAAGCCATAGATCCAGACTGGAAAACGCAAAGCGGTCAAATCAGGTCCATTTCACGGTCCGCTATTGTCGGTCCGCTTAGCCTTGGCGCCGTTTATAAATTTCGAATTGCAGCCGTTTACCAAAATTACGATAACCGACATGGACCTAACTCGGCGAGATTCAAAATTTTGAAAATGTTCAAAACGCCCATCTTATCTATCGCAAACTTAACCAGCGGATTAGACGGTTTAAAGCAAGTCAAGCCTCACCCGCCAATCATTGTTCGGGTAAATCCTGTCTCACATTACGAATTCGAAGTGGAATGGATGGTAATTTTTTTTAAAACATTCATTTTGAAGAATAACAATTTCAATCAGATTTTTAAATGCTATTCAAGGTATAATAAAATCTTCAAATAAGTAAATCTTACATGATTTTTATTTATGGATGAAAAAGAAAGAATCTTTTATAATTGAAAAATCACAATTTTTTTGATGTTATAAAAATTATTTATCTTTTTATGCAATTCTATTTTTGCCTATTCTGCTCCAAGCATAAAAATTACTCAGTTTATTGTGAAAATTTAATTAATAGGCCAAATAGGTAATATGTTTCTGTTTCATTAGTCAATTTTTTATAATAATTGTTGTATTTTAAAAGGTATTCAACTTATTTGAATAATATATTTGTCATACAATAATATAACGTATTTATAAAAGGTTAGTTGAATTGAATACTTATAGAAGTTAAATTGAATAATTATAGAATAGTATATATATATATACAAGAATTGAAAATAAAAAACTATTGACCATATATTTTATGAAGTATCTTAAAGATTTAAAAATAATGAAGTTTCAAAACCCATCCATATATTCAAATTTCTTGATAAAAATTAATAATTGATAATAATAATCAATGAATCAATGTCTTCACAATTTCTTTCTCCCAGGTCCTCTTTTTGTTTTTCTTCTTTACTAATCGTTACCTCATATATTGCCGTATGTGACAATAGGCAGAGATTAGGTGATATTTTATTTGAAAACCTTATTATATTAAATATCTCCATTTTTTTTAATGTTTGTCTTATTTTATTAAACTGCTTTAAATAATAATTATGCATTTTTATGGATAAAAATATTTGTGTTAGCCATTTTTTAAAAAAAATCGGCTCAAATCGAGCCGTTTTAACAACACTACTCTTAATATTTTCTAAAATTTTTAATAAAAATTCTTGTATCATTATAAAAATGAAAAATCCAAAAACGAGAGAATTATGAATGTTTATTACCTTCCTGTACCGTTTTTGCTTTTATTATCAGATTACCTATCTTTATTCCTTACTTAGATCCCCCCCTGACTCACAAATATTTATTATTTACGCGTATATCTTCTTTTTTTTTCAAACTGACAAAAAAAATCAAGTATCAAAACGAAAGGGAGGAGAATGGACTACTTGATTCCGAACCATCTTCCTGCGTTCAATCCGATCCCAATAAGCCAACAAATTCGAACGAGAGTCAGTATCAACTATCGAAAACCGGGTTTTATGTATACCATAGACCAGCCGGGTCGGTCTTGACATATCTGAGATCGGAACCGCTCATAATTCACGACGACAAAACGTCGAATTCGGTCGAGGGTAATAAACGCAATACCGGGAAACATGTATATCGGCACAGGGTGCAAGTTAAGAAGCGGCTCCAATCCGACATTGACCAAAATGATTTGAAGGGCGAATTGAAAGGGGGAACCTATCAAAATATAAGCAACATGATCGAATCAACGACTCATAATGATTCTGTCGTCCTCGAGATATCTGGCAATGATCTCCAGAACCCACCCTTGCATCCCATGTTTCCCGATGCATCTAGGTTTTATATTTTTTTTTGATTGTTGTTAACCTTTTATGTTAATATCTTGATAAAAAAAATATTTAAATTGCGTATTTGTGAAAACATAACAGGTTTGAGGTGAGAATGGTGACCTTCGTTTCTCCCCTCTGCCCGAACCTAATGAACGCTTCCCACTATGAATCAGCTATCAAAAGCAAGTTGAGCAATCCTAAATTCGTTGATATGTCTAGTAATTTATTATAATATATAGTACATTTTTTTAAATTTATCAAAACACAAAACAATTTTGTGCTTATACCGACATGTAGCTTGATACCGGTCTGTATCGATTGTCATGAACAGTTATGTTCTGACCTGTCCATGTCCACCCAAAACTTAATATCTATTGTCCCGACTCGGGCAGATCCGAGGCCTTAATGACGTAGTTATTTTTTATCTGATATCGATGATTGGCTGAAATTTTTTCTTAATTTCATAGAATATAGTTAAATTATTTTATAATTACGAAGAATATGTTATGAGTAATTCCTTACTCACTCAGAGGGGTCACCGATTGGACGTTCCACAACCATCTCCGCCCTTGCCTCATTCGTTGACCTCCAGACGGCTTTTCTTTTTGGTGTTGGGCAACGCCATGGCCTTTTTGCTTATTTTGCTATTCGCTTCCTCCCTGGCGTGTTATTGCAAGCAAAGGAAACTTTTGGAGAAGCGAAAAATATATAGAAACGGTTAATATTTTATTTTTGTGGACTATTGACGATAAGAACGTTAATATAAAAAAAAGAGTGGCAGGGAAGGGGGGAGGGGGTTAACGATTAATCCTCTAGAAATATAAGTCGGCTTAGGGTGGGTATTTTATATTTTTTTCTATTTACAAAAAATATATATATTAACTAAAGAGAGTACAATGTTATAGAAAAGGCGGATTTATAAATACGCGATATTTAAATTGGAAGGGTCCTAACTAGGAAAAAAAATCTATGTCAAAAATCTTGCTACATAGAACGTTTCCAGGCAACGATATAATTTTATTTATTTTTTCCGTAAATATAAAAATCGATATTTACAAAGGAGGACCTAACCTTGACGAATACAATATGACCACGTACAAGAAAGGCTGGAAAAGTATCTTCACTTTCAAATCATCCAAACCCGCTTCTAGAAGGTTCGAAAATGGCGGAAGCCCTGTCAAACTCCACAATGGCAAAGCTCCTCTCATGATTTTGGACGTGCTTAGGAGAGCCGAAAGTAACATCTTAAAAATATATATATACACCTTTTGACGCAGGAACTAATTAATCGTTCATTCGTGTTTTAATATTACGAGATTTAATAAAATAATAATTTATTATTGATGTCAATCATGCATGTCACCTTTAAATATATTTATTACGACAAAAAAAATTTACGGCTCTATGCCCAAAGTTTTATTTTAAAAATACACTTTTCGTTTAACTCTAATCTTTTTTTTTTAATGCAACTGTCCTAAATTTTTAACAAAAAGTGTGAGTTAAAAAAATTTCAGAGGAGAGCATTTCAAACTAAGAATTTTAAAATTGACATTTTTGTCTATCTAAATAATTATGAGAACATATATTTTTAAACTTCGTATTCCTAAGTGTCCGCCTTCGAATTTCCTAGCGAAAGGGAAGGGGGAACAGATGACAATAACCTGGACCTTAAAAATATGCAGTCTAACAATGCCACCGAAACAACCTCCTTCAATATCTATAATGATCGTAATAATTGTTCGCTCTACAATAGCCCTCTCAACCATTACGGGCACAAAAACGTTGATTCTAGTCCCATTTCAGCCGAGCGTGAACATTTGATAGTCCAGAATGGGGTCATTGGTGGTGAAAGATCCTTTAGAGAAGATTACAAATACCAAAGTTAATAGCTATATTCGATCTTATATATTAACTATATTTTTTTTTTCTCTTTTCGCTGGCAGTGCATAATTTTTTTAAGTTTTGAAATGACCCATTTTATATTCGCACTTTACCCTAACCTCAATAGGAAAGGTAGCACTGGGTGATAGATAGATAATATTTGATCATTAAAATGAAGAAAGATAATTGTTTAAAAAATGTATATCACAATAGTATAATGGTTTTTTTTAAGTCAGAATTGCGTTCTAGTCGCTTTTTTAAAATTGGGGGCTTCGGGCTTGGTTGGACGTAGGCTTTCGTTTGCTTATGATATCATGTTTCTGATTCTGGAAAAATTTTAAAATGACAAGTTTTTTTTAAAGAGTTTTGTCAAAAAATTTTAATTCAACCAGCGAACGGGTCACATATGGAAATTATATGCAGTTGTGGGAAAAAAAAATTCGTGATACTGAGGATTTTTCTAAGAACTAGGTCCCTGCACCTGAGTTCTAATCCGACCGAACTTGAGACATTTTAGCAGACTCGCTCACGGACCTTGATTTAAAAATGTCCTCGGATCGGACTTGGAAAATATCCGGTGCAAGGCTCTACTAAAACGTTCACTATTTCCGGTATTGATGGGTGGAATCGTAAGATTTATTATAGATTTTATTTTTACTATTATTTTTAAAGATTATCAAAATGGATACCACCCGTTCAAAAGGAATAGGCCGAATTCAATCGTTCTCTCCATAGATCCCACCAATTACACCATTAATAACAACACGAACTTCCCTTTCACGAATCCCAATCATCAAATTTTTTCTACCACCGAGCACCATTTGAGCACTCTGCCAAGAAATAGGAATAATAATCATATGACCGGTAATATTTAAATCCTTTTTTTTGTTAAAAAATAAATTATTTTAAGCTTATCTAATTATGAAAAGATATATATTTAATTTTTATAAGGCTGTGTTCGGTCCGAAAATATTTTTCCTCTGGGCAAACTGGGTTGGGCTACGATGATCTCTAATACTAATACCATTCTTTATAAACTAACCCCAAATTCTGCGGTTTTTGTACTCCCTGAAAAGGGAATCAGCGATAGTTGTAAACTTTGACCTCCCCCTCCCTTCCCACTCTTCTTTAAATTTTTTAAAATAAATTGTTTTTATTTTATCATTTAAAAAAAATTAAACATGTAACTTTTCAATTCAACATTTTATAAGAATATTAAATTTTTATCTAATATTATTTCGAAGAAATTCATACTTTTAAAATGATACAAAAAATTTTTTAAATTTTTAAGGGAATGAAAAAGGGCTAAGTATAATTAAATGTAAGAAAATATATGACAAATATGGGAAGAAAGAAAGTGTAAACCTATATTTTATATGTTAGCATCAATGTGTATTCCGAACGATGTGTCATATTTTCAACTTTAAAAATAAGTCAAAATGAAATTAACGCTTTAGACAATAATGAAGAAATATATTAATATAACAGTATCCCACCCCCCTCTTCCCCGCTGTAGAAATCACTGTCAAAATCGTCGCTGCTGTTTTTAGCCCAAAAATGTCTCAGGGTGAGGGTCGAAATAGCATACCTATAACCTTCTAAGCTACCCTTAAAAAAATAGCAAATTGTTTTTTTTAACCCAACATTGCATGATGTATCACAAATTTCCTAATATAATATATTTGGTAAAATACATATTTAGTAAACAACCAAGGAGTAGCCACTCTAAACAAACTTTCCCTCGGTTACAACGGAACGAGTTATAAAGCGTTGCATCGAACGCCTATTGCGGCGAATTCCATAATTACCAGTAATGGGGAAGTCATTGACGTCTCAAACGAAATGAATCAAAATTGGTAATATAATTTAAAAAAATTTTTTAATGACCTTTTATAGTTTACAAAAATTGAAAGAAAGATTGGGATTTTAAAATCTTTTAACATGGTAATTATAGATATAAATAATATAATTACCAGCTAGGGAGTTTATTTTATTTTTTATTATGCAATTTCTATTACATGAACAATGAGCTATTTTATTTTTTTTTGGCGCGTTTCATATATAAAATAATTTAATTAATCGGATTTCTTTCAAACTTTCTCAGGGCTGGAATTTCGTTAAAAAAAATAATTTTACATTTATGTTTTAAGTTTGTGTTTTTTTTAAAAAAAAATGATGCGCGGAAAAGAAAGGAAATTGTTACCTTAATTATTAAAATACAGGCGCATGCGTGATTTTTATTTAGACATGTAGAAACCTACTATTGGATGAATTAAAATTTGGATAAGTCTCTGAAAAGTTGTATCGGCTCACCTATCAGATTTCATGGCACATTTATTGACATATTGTATTGAAATTTAATATAATTTTCGCATTCATTAGGCCCATCTTGAATACCCGACTCGAGCATATGGGCCATAACCCTCCATTAGCTGCTCCCAATAATAGGAATCTATTTTATTACGACACTTTCGGTAGGAAACGCAAAACGAGTGATAACAAAAATAACGGAAAATTAATGAACCACCCGTTCTCCTCCAATACCTACACCATGGTTCCGTGTCACGAAGAAGAGATTGGAGGCGTGGAAGAAAGGCTCGAAGACGAGAACGTCGATTCACAGTTGGAAACGCTAGGTGCCATGATAGATAACAGTTTCGTTTATCACCTTATATGTTTTAGCGCGTTAGGGAAAGAGTGGGGTTTGATGAACTTAGACATACCCCATTCTAAATCTAGACAGATTTATTTTGAACTTTCGCTTATCTTCTATTTATCTCATTTTTGGAAAAGGGGGGGAGTAAACATCTCATGAAAAATAATTAATATTAAATCTTCACAATAATCGCCATACCCAGGTACGCCTATAATCAACGACCAAGATGGGATAGCCTCCTTCGACAAGAATAGACAAAACCGCTCCCCGTTAAAAAATTCGCGATCCGTCAACAAAAGGAATTGCAATAAACCGAATCAAATCAACCGAAATAACAAGAAATTTAAGGGCCCCAACTCTAAAACGCCTGGAAGCAAAATCTACAATAATCCTCTATACGCTAACGGCGGTGATACTAAATATATGGCCGGCCATAGATCTGAGAGAGATATGTATAGTTTGCTGTTGTCCCAGACATATAACGTTAACGGGGAAACGAAAAGGGGCTACGAGCCGAACTATAAAAACACGAAGCAATCAGTGCTAGTTAGGGCTAGATCGGCTAAAAGCTTGGTCCCAGCCTTTGATAAGGTATAAATATATGTTTAACTAAATTTGTTTAATTACTCGGATCCATCTGATTTTGCTTCTGAGTAGATAGATATAAATTTACATTGATAATGGATAAGAAATTCTTGTATAATGTAGTATATTCTTTTCATTAGTGTCGTCAGCAAATTTTACCGCCCATTTTTTATCAAAGTCTGCACAATAGTTTTTTTTGGTAGTACCGAATCAGGACTGTTAACGTGAAACCCCTCAAATCCTTTTTTAAAATTTAAGGTTAAGTGCTCAATAACTTTTTTTAAAAAAATATGTATTACATTTTAAAAAAAAATGAAATATTCCACTTAATCTGAGCCATATTTTTAGAAGGATGGTTCACGCCAATACTATTTATTCTTTTAAAGTACAGTAAATTCGAGTTTTGTTAAAACAAGTTACATCCCTAAATAAAGTAACTTGTTACACGTGATTATTTTTCATCTTTAGAAAAAAATTGTTATGTGCATTCTTTTAAAATCGATTTTCTCTGCATTAAGGGGATATTTAAGTTTTTGTTTTTAAAATTTTTCTTCCTTTTCATATCGACTAAAGTATTGCTTCTCTCGAATGGCTAAAAACAATGTAAATTTTAAAGAAAGAAGAAAAAAAATAGAAAAGCCTAATAATTTTTTTTCCAAATTTATTGGATCTGAAGAATATTGCAGATAAAGAATATATCAAAAATTTTCAGTTAACCATCAGTGATATATTTTTTTAAACATTCAAATACGAATAGAATAATAGCTACGAGGAGGATAGCGAGAGAAATAACGATGAAACAAGTGTCCCTATCGAGGACCGAGGCTCTGTTCGATCGGCTAATGTCAACCAGCAGTCAACGGCATATAGTGGGCCCCCGTCCGGATCATCTTTCGCCAGTCTTCCACCCATTTCCGCCACCGACGCCTACCTCAAAGATCCTAAAATTATTTACGGAATAAACGATGATAAGCTTACGAGGGAGCATGGGCATAGTCATTTGAAGAACTCCTTCGATACCCATCATATAGTCAATAATAATAATTGTAATAACGGGAATGGTTTGGAAAATGTGGTATACGGAAGCAGGTTCGATGCTATAGAACCAATATCCCAAGGAATCGACAGAAAACCGGTAATAAAGAATTTATATATATATATTTCCAGAGACCTGCATGCCCTGCCCAAAGCGGGCCTAAATAATGGTGAATTCCGTAAGTAATTTTTTTTAAATATATCTGGGCCAGATTTAAGATTTATACCTCAGCACTCTGAATATATATAAGGACAATTTGAATATTTTAAAATGGCGCATAAATATTATGTATTTAAGGCCGCATTTAGTGTTTGCAACGGTCCGGTCGGACCGACGGTCCAGTCCAGTCTTATTAGACTTTTCGGTCCTATGGGTAGGTCCCGTCCAACAACACGGTCCGGTCCGATCGAAGACCGATTAAAGAATATAAAAGTTTACTATAAATTGCTTTATAGTTAATGTGTATGTACATGAACATATAAAATATGATTATTTAATGCCTAACACTTTATAATATCTAATTCATCGTTTACTTTTTATATTCTTCCGTTTCTTTAAATTCAATATTCATAGTTTACTTTTTATATTCTTCTTTGATTAGGCATTTGTGTATAATATAATAAAAATGAATTGATGATATAATTGAAATATTAATAGGGTAATTTAACTATTCATTTTTAATAAATTTAAATGCAGAATAAAACTTTTGTAGCTTTATAAAAAAAAAATTTAGGTGGGACCGGACCGACGGTCCCACGGTCCGGTCTCATTTGACTTAACGGTCCATCGGTCCGGTCCCATTTTAGAAAAAAAAGACCGGACCGTTGCAAACACTAGCCGCATTCATAATGGGTTCCGATCCGACACGGTTTAACGATTTTTTTAAGGATTTATTTAGAGATCAATTCAAATCAGATTAATGAATATAAATATTTAATAATGAAGAATTGATCTATGCAGATTTTTAAAATGGATCAGCTGTTTAATAATGTTGGATGGAATTTCACTATGAATGCGGCCTAAAAGATGTTTAATAAGGTTTACAATTAAAAATGGTCCTTTACGCCTAGGTTTCGGTCCTGAAAAATATCCCTTAAATGCCCATTAACAACGAGACCAAAAAAAATCTTATTTTGGAATAAGTTATTTACAAAAACATAATCATTTTTTTTAAAAAAACGTTTTTTGTAAATTCGAAAGTTATCCGTTTTTATAGTTGGTCCATTCCATGTCAAATCGATCATGTTTCACTATTTTTATGTTATATATCTAATAAAACATTAAAGCATAAAGTATACTAAGCTGGAATGGTTTTTGACTGAACATTTAAGAAATTTTTACATTAGAGATATTTTTTAAAATTACCATTTCATTTGAAAATATGCGATAAAAATTAAAAAAGCATAGGGTATAGAATTTTAAAAAAAATGTTCTTTACATGGCACTTTCTTTTGATGATATATAAAGGCATTCTCAAATTTTAGCATACTAGCTCTAATATTTTTGAAGATATCAAGGATGAAGGAATAGGAAAATGACCTATTTTACGCATACCGATTGTCCTTCAATTAAAGATTTACTAAAACAAGAGCCAGGGTGCTAAAATTTTATACTTTTATTATGAGTGCAATAGCTTTTATACAAATACCCAAATATTGATTTGACATGGAATGACTGACTGACTCATTATATTTAAATATTTGCATTGTTTATTTTTGTGTTTTTTTAACTCATCCTATTTTTTTTTAAAGGAATATATAATATAAACAAAAACACATATATCATCGCAGTCGCTTTCCTCTTTCAAACCTAACAAAAGTCCGTATTGCGTTAAGGATCATTCACAATTCGACTTTGAGCGCGCGTCTGACACTTACTCAAAGCGAAAATGTAAATATGCAAGTGTTTTGTAACAAAATAAAATAAGATATATTTATTTGAATAGATTCGCCATTTTTAAATAAAAATGAAATGGGAACTATAAAAAAAAATATCAGAAATTTTTTTTTTGACATGACTCCCAAAAACAAGCTTGTTGAATGCAGGGCTTTAGCCCTTCATTGAATGGATGAAAAAAAATCTATCGAGTGAATAGGTGGGATACCCTCAGACCCCGATTTAAAAACACTATATATTAAAATCAAATTAATTTGTAGCATTCATATTTTAATATATTAAACTATAATTTAATGATTTTAACTGTTATTTAAATAATTTATTTTATCATCATATGATAGCTTTTGTCTAGGGAGGAAATCAAAAAAGTGACAAATTATTTTAGAAAAAAAAATGTATAAATAAAATTGATGATGTAAAAATGTTTATCAAAGGTCCAAATATTAATATAACATGACATTTCATTAATAAAAATGATATATGTAAAAAGGGGTTTATTTATGCTTAATATATCAATGCAAAAACTGGGAAAAAAGTTCAGGTGGGATCTATGTGACCCCAAACTCCAAAAAAACTTTTGAACTACTGAAAAAAATTAAAATTAGTTTTGCACACATATTTTATCTAAAAATGTTAAACTACTAAAAGATTCAGGCAAAAATATCGAAAGAATTTTAAAATAACATTTTTAAAATGACTGGGGTCTGCATGGTCGCACCTCTGCAATGAAGGGTTAATACACAATCAACTGTGCTGTAATTAACTTAGTAACCTTTTCATGGGTAGTATTGTTTAACTACCAAACTTTGGCCATGCATAATGACCATTCCTGAGGCTTAACTTAGGGGGTAGGGTTAAGTCATTAGGCTTTGGCTCTAACCATATTGTAGTTTTTAACTCAGTTGTACATTACACGTAAACCTTAGGCTGGTCTTAACTTGATTTTTTAGAACTTTCTAAAAAGATTGTCTGGATTAAATGTTATTTTTAGACTTAAAAAGAATAAGAGAAATACATCTTTAAGCAAATACTAAAGAATCTTCCTAGTTGCTTTTCAGAATGAAGTGGTCTATCTATAAATTGATAACGCGTCATGATGCAATCTAATCCTTTTTTTTAAATATCAATTTCCAAACCTTTAATGTTTATTATTATTGTAGCCATAGGCCAAGACTCGGCCCAATCAAATCGCACCTCCCATTCCTCGTCCCTCTTAAATCAAAATCATCATCATTCACCCAATCCCGAAAATAACATCAGTAATTTTGCCGCGAATTACGCCGATCCGCATTACCCAAATTTTTTGAATTTTGATCTCGACGATCTAGGCTCGAACCCGGCTAGCCACCCTATCCCCCTTCCCCCTTTTCTTATATCGGAGTTGGAGGACGAAGAGGAAACATCCGACGCGCCATTTGGACGAACGAAGAACGGCGGAGACTTGAATGAGTTAGACGCCCTAAACGCGCGTTATATAGCTTCTTACCTGGATTTTTCCGTTACTCGGGAGCACCTTCATCCACAGGATCCCCCCTTGACCATGAGGTCCTTCAAGAGATGAAATATTTTTTAAAAATGGGATCAGGTGATGAAAAATAGATAATCATAGTTGTCTAAGTGAATAGATACATGTCCTTAAAAATATCATTTTAGCTAAAAGTCTTACCGATTTGTACCATGATACTCCTCCAATTACAAAATAGCATTTTATCATTTTTTGAGTCTATTTGACTTCTCTTGTTTTTTTTAAGTTAATGCTGCAAAATATAAAATTTTAAATATTTTCTCGTTCGTCAAATAGTTTTATGAGATCTCTTTCGTTTTATTTTTAAATTTTTTTTTACAAGCAAATTTTGTAAGAATTTTTTTTTAAATTTATATAATTGATTCTCATTTATATTTGCATTTCTATTTAAATCAATCGTATTAAAATTTATTGAATCATGTTATGTCTATTTTTTTCTTCTTCTCATTTGATTATAAAAAATTTACATTTATTTGCATTCGAAATTTTAAATATTACAACATAATATTATTGTATTGTGATATTTTAAGTAGTCTTGTTAAATGGTTCAATTTAGCTTTTTTTTAAAAAAATGGCTATCAAAATTTTAGCCAAACCGCAAATTACCCAAGCTTAAAAATTTGCCCACAAATGCCAGAAAGGTTTCAGCATTTATTGGCCATATCTAGAGGCTTAAATAATATTATTAAGCCTAGTTTTTTTATAAAATTCGGCTATATGAACAGTTTAACAAACACTATATTTTTGATCATCGAATTTTATATAATAATTTTTTTTATAATATCCAAAAAAAATTTTTATCATTTGATTTTTTTTTAAAAAAATATATATAAATTTAAATTATATTTTATCTTGATATAAAACCCTGAAAATTCCAACAATTTTATTATTGTATTTTTTTTTTAAAAAAAAAAAATAATATATATAAATATCTTATTTATTTTTTTTTAAAGTTATGAATATTTTATAAGCTATTATCATCGATGAATATTATTTATTTCGCTTGTCCGCCGCTTAAACTATAAATTTAAAACGATACGACTAAAAATCATGCCGGCGGGAAAAATCAATAAATTACTTGCATAATTTAATTTTAAACCTAAAATATTATTTTTTTTCATTGGAGGATTTTGAACTGAATAAAATTCTACCATTTTTTTTTGAATAGTTATTGAATATTTATTTTATTTTTCTACAAAACACATAAACTTAAGCCTTAAACGCTTCGCAATCAAAAAGCTGTTAATTTTTATTTTATAAAAAGTCTTTTCTTTTTATTTTTTTTTAAAAAAAGAAATAATATTTACTTAAAATTAAATCATTCATTTTGTATAAAGAAGATAATTTTTTTTTATATATATTGCACATCGCGAAATTATTTATTTTTTTTTAAATCATTTGTAAAAATATTTTTATTAAATACATACATTTCCTTATCGTTTTAAATATGTAATTTTTTTAGCTTATATTATTATTATTTTATATTTGTTTTTTTTACAAACAAGAATTAAATTATAATTTCATTTTCTTTTATAAGATTTTAGATATAAATTTAAAATATGCATTTACCAAGCCTATGAATACTATAATTATGATATTTAATTTTTTCAATTTTATATAATATATACATATATAATACATGTAATAAACTTTTAAATAAATACGTATTAGAAAATCTCCTCATTCATTGCAAGCTAGAGAGTGAGTGGGGCTATTTAAGTTTAAGGGGGACGCCAAATTTCATGTATTATACATTTAAAACGGAATCGTAGTAATTTAAATCTGTCGCAAATTCTTTATATTTTACTATAATATATTGCATGAAATTCATGTTCCAAGCTGATTTACGAATTCCTTTTTTAAAAAATGACGATGAAGAACTTAGTTTGTTATTATATGATATTTTTTTGTAAATCGTAGATTTCATCTTCGCTCCCTGGCCGTCAAAAATATTAGAAGAGCCTTTGAATAACTTAGTTTTAACTACAATTGACAAATTTAATTATGGCCCAAAATTGCAACGGTGTGTTTCCAAAATGACAAATTTAGAAAATACCTAAATGACATATTTACTATTTCTATGTACCTACTCAATTTTAAGAAAGTTTAAATGACAAATTTAGAAATTCTTAAAAATGACGATTTTAAGAGAAACCTTTTGAAATGTCTAAATGGCAAATTTAGAAATACCTAAATGACAATTAAGAAATAACCTAATCAATTTTAAGAAAGTCTAAGTGGCCAATTTAGAAGATTTATTATTTATTTATGGGTAGTTTTTATTAAAAATAGGTCAGTACTAATAATAACCATATTACATGGTCGGTATTTTATTCAATTTTGTCAGTATTTATTTTAAAAAATTGTGGTATTACAATTGCCCTATGTGAAAATTGGGGTGTTTAGAAATTTCGCTTTTTGTTCGATACTTGAGAAAAGTATTTTGCCGATAAAATCGATTCTAAGTCGCCGATAATTAATTTTTTTTTAAAGTAAGTTTAATGTCTAAAAATTAAAATTCAGGAGATAGACTAAACTTTGTAATTTATGAATTTATTTGAAAGATTATTGATATCAATTAGTATAATTTTTTTTATAAAGGAAAGTATTGTAAAGTGAAAAGATATATTTAAAATATATATTTGTTCGATATCAAGCATTAGGGATAAATGGGTTTAAAAACAAATAGATAAAATAATCTTCATTCGCTTTTTATTGTTTGATTTATCCTATATATAATTTAAAACTTAAGAATAATTTTGATGAGATGAACTGAGCTATCCGAATTTTTACACCAGTAAAAAATATAATTGTAATAGATTTTTGTGTGTTATTCCATTATTCCAATAAGATGTCCGAATTCACCCATATCGGATGATAATGTCAATTTTTTGTAGTGTTGTAAACGAACGCGTTCGTGAACGAAGTTCGTTTTTTTGAAAAAAATGATGAACGGCGTTCCTTTTATTTTTGACGAACTTTGAACGTGAACGCGTTCCTTTTTTATGACGAACGCGTTCTAATTTAACGTTCGTTCAATTTTAAAAATACTTTTTCTTTTTATTTATTTGAAAAATTTTATATTTCCGAATTTTTAAAAAAAATAATTATTTATATTTTTTAATCGGCTGTGTATTTCCTTTTCACATTTCATTTTTTTTAACACATAGTTTATTAATTTGAATATTATTGTTTATATTTTAATTTAATAGATTAGCATAAGAATGGCAAAATCAGATGAATTATCATTAACATGGCCAAAATGATAAATGTTTTACAGTAACATCCTATATTGAAGGAATTAATTCAATGCTTACCAAGTGTAAAATATGGCCAAAAAGTATTATATTGTCAAAATCTTCAGATTCCAATTTAAAACGACATTTGATTGTAATATTAATTATTTTATTTTATATAATAAATCATTAAATTTGAAGAAATAATGCATTTGGGATATTTGACCCCAACAATAACGATAGTTATTTTAAAATTAAAAAAAATTAGTGGCCTCAAATATGGTCAACCATTGATAGACGCCGTATTAAATGGGATTGATAAAAGGTATTAAACCTATCACTCTTACATATATTTTATTTTTTTAAAGATTTGAACATATATATAAGGATCAATATGTTCTTTCTGCAATTATACATCCAGCATTCAAACTTCAATTGCCATGGATAAAACTTTCACAGAACGAACCTATTAAAAATAAACTTATAGCGTTATGGAAAAAAATGCTTTGAAAACCCTAGGAACTGTTAATTTCCAGATATCCTTTTTTTTTGTCGAGGAAGAAGAGAATGGATTGGAGGAGGATAACTTATCTCAATTTTTTGAAGCAAATAACAAAACAATAATTGTTTTTAATTAATTGTCCACTTTAAAAGAGCTGTTTATTAAGTATAATACCGCAATCCCCTCATCTGTGCCTGTAGAGCACGTTTTTATTGTAGCTAATGCCGTTTTAACTGCCAAGTGTTCCTGTCTATCAGATAAATGAAAACAATTGTTAATAAAATTTAATAAGAATAATTTTTTATAATAAAAATATCTTTTTATTCGCTATATTATATTTTATTTACAATTTTATTATCAATATATTATTTTTTAAAATGGCTAATATATTTCTATCAAAAAATATAAGTTTATTTATATTAAATTAAATTTTAAAATAATTTATCATAAAATTATGAACGGTTCATGAACGTGAACGTGATTTGAAAGTGAACTTGAACGTGAACGCGTTTGATTTTTTCAATGAACTTGAACGCGAACGCGTTCGATTTTTTTAGAAATCTTTACAGCATTAATTTTTTGTAAAAACTTTATAATTTGTTTAAGTGTCTAATTTAATTTACTCAAAATTAAAACAAAACACTTTAGGAAAGAAAATTCTTAAAATATCAAAATCTTAGAAGAAGAAAAAATCTTTGAATGGCTCAGAATTATTTTTTAATACTCAAATAAAAATATATATATTGTTACGAAAAAATGATTTCGGTTAAGAATCATGTAAACCGATTAGGACGAGGTGCAGCAAAAAGCTTGACCTTTTCCCGCCAAAAACAAAAATGGCTAGCCCCTCTTCCGGTAATGCGAGGGTGGCTGGGTGATTTGTTACTTATTTAGGTTAGGATATTATAGTAACTTAATCGTTGAAAAATATTTTTTTTAGGATAATTTATTATTTTAGACCAAATAATATTATATAAGGCCATATGTAACGCCCTTTTTCAATACAAACACTAAGTAAAAATTTGGCTAAGTGGCTAATTTAAATATTAATTTTTTGACTTTTTAATTTGGAAATGACTAAATTGAATAAATATTTGAATCTTTTCTTTTAACCTATACACTCGGGAAATTTGGCCCATCAATTTTATTTGACATCTATTCAGTTACTTTTTTTCATCTAAAATCAGGGACCGGAATGAACCGTAACGAACCGTTAAACCATTATAAACCGTTATAAATATCTGAACCGTAACCAACCCGATATAATTATTTTTTGAAGGATAAAAAAGAACCTTTATAAAAAAGCTTTAAACCGGTTCAGTTTTTACATTTTAGAAATAGAAATAATTTGAATATCCAGAATTATATAAACTTTCTCTTAAAGTACCAACGGTTCCCGCAACACAAGTTTCTGTAGAAAGGGCCTTTTTGTGGCTAAAATTTGTGTTACCGTCACAACGAACAAAAAGGAATCCATTTATATTAGAAAATATATTACTTATACGTTCATATAATATATTTAAAAATGAATTATTTTGAATCTGGGAACT